AATGTGTTTTTTAAAGGCTTGTATTCACGGGAGGTGGGTTCTTTCCCCTTGCTTAGGATCTAACAATGGACTTCCCGTCCAGGCCCTCAGGGTGTAATGTGTTAAAGGTGAGGTTTTTGCAATTTATAGGTATGAAATAATAAAAGGCTTATCATACGTAAAGAATATGGCATAAATAGAAAATCTACAAATTTGACAGTAGTGTCGATTTTTGTCGGATATCTCCATTTGTTGATTGTGAGAAGTAACTCATTTTGTCAGCACAGCTCACATTTCATAAAGGATACACCCCTGGTGTGTAGTGATTCCCATTGGTAGTTTGATGATTAGATGTTTTTTTAAGCAACTGTAAGGTCCCTGGTTCAAATCCTGATCCGGCTTGCTCGTTTGTCCTTCTTTCCTTCTCCCCCCCCCCCCACATTCCCCAAGTTTCGGTAATTGTCTTAAAAAACTGGAAATGGGAGGTTAGGGGGTGCTCTGGTGTGGTTTGCTTTCTCCTTCTTCCTCATCAAAGTCTCTCCGCCTTTTTTGTGCGTGCTACTCTCTAGTAACACATCTGTTCTCCGGCACTTTTATGACCTTATTGTGTTGCAAGTGCCGTAAAACTGTTACTACAACAAAAAAAAAATACTCTAAGACCTGTGTGGCCAGTCTCTGGGTGTTTGTAGCCCCCCATTAAGATGGCAGCTTGCACCGTGTGCTTCCCAGCAGTCGGAGAATGTTCTCGGCTCTGTTTGGGGTAACGACTCCTTGATTGTGAAGCACGTAGATAGACTCACTTTTATTGTAGGGAGAAACTCTATTATACATGCGGCTAATCTATCTACCTACCTACCTACCTACCTACCTACCTACCTACCTACCTACCTACCTACCAATCTACCAATCTATCTATCTATCTATCTATCTATCTATTTATCTTTCTGTTATTATCATGATTATTATTCTTACCATTGTGACTTTAAAGGTAAACAGTTTTCCAAAACCTTTCATGTAAGCGTACAATTTAGAGTTTTATTTACAAAATTCTGCCTCAAAATATCTGGGAATCAAAATTCTTTAATGGAATGCAACTTGTAAATGCTCCCACTTCCTGCGTCAAAACCGCTCCTACTTTTGTACTGATCAAATCTGAAATCTCAGGCTGAAGAACGATCGTGTTTAGCAGCATGTTGAGATAGGTCATTATTTCCCCTTCATTTCTGTAGATAATACATGTGGCTAAGACTGAAAATTGAACAAAAAGATCTGTACTTTGTCCGACGGTAGGCAGAATCAGAAAGTAGGTCACAGATAGGGCTCGGTCACGGTGAGGAAAACCCGCCCCGATAGTTAAAGAGATAGCCCCCCCCACCCCTTCGGAGAAAAGGGTTAAATAACCTTAGAGCGTTGATAGGCGTGTTAAACCCAAACTCTTACTATTAAAATTTACTTTCCAGTGTGGGAACTTTTCGGACAAATGTTTGAGAGTTATATTGAAATGTTTATATCTCAAGAGCAAAATTGTTTCGTACAAATGTACGATAGTTGTTAGCTTAATATTTCTCTTGAATGTAAAATCATTTCTAACAAATGTACGATAGTTGTTTGCTGAAAGATTCTTTCAAACATGAGAACGTTTCTGCTAAATGTTCAGGACTTGTTATGTTTCAATGATTCTCTCAAATGTAAAAAACATTTTTAGCAATGTTTGAGCTTTGTTTGATGAACATTTTTCTTGAATGTTTAAACATTTCTAACAAATGTTTGATGTTTGTTAGGGGAATGTTTCTATTGATTGTTACATTTCTCACAAATAAGTGGGAGTTGTTTGGTGAATGTAAAATTTCTGACAAATATATGTGAGAAATGTTTTGTGAATGTACAATTTCTGACAAATATGTGAGAATTGTTTGATGAATGTAAAATTTCTGACAAATATGTGAGAATTATTTGGTGAATGTACAATTTCTTACAAGTATGTGAGAATGAAAACCTTACTAAAACTAAAACATGATCCACTGGGCTGGTAATAATGGCCTTCCTCGACCATTGTGTGTGTATGGGGGGGGGGGTTTACATCTATGTCTTTCATGTGGGCAAAAGAGCAATGATTAGTTTTGTTTTTTTGTCATTACTGGGGTTTCTTTGTACAGCGCCCAGAAGAGCCAGTGTGGGGACATAGGAGTAGGCGCTCGCTGGAGAAATCATCTACGTTATTACCTTTGTTACTCTGTCACCATATTTGTCGCGTTGAAGGACAAGCGGGCTAACCCAGATGTTGGGGGTTTCCAGAAATCTTGACCTACACCAAAAGTGAGCATTGCCCTACCTATAGGAGAAGTTTGGTTTCATGGGTGTGTATATTTGTTTGGTTATAGAGAAAACTCTCCTTGTCTTTTAAAGAAACTGAACAAGGGGCAAAAAACTTTACCTTCCATTTTCTCAAAACAGCATTTTTCGGGATAGCCCCCTTGTGCTTAAAAGCAACCATTTATTCCTGTAATACTCCTCAAGTACTCATATGACTTACTGTGCAGCCTCTCTATAGCGACTTTCGTGGGTGCTTGGCGGGTGCTCTGGTGTGGTTTTCTTCTTTTTTCCTGTCAAACATCTATCATCCTTATCTCCCCTCCTTCTTTTTTGTGTTTGTTACTCTCTTGTAACACCTCTAACCTTCGCTCATATGACCTTATGCAGTTGCGAGCGCCGTAAAACCCTCTACTAAAAAAAAAGGTTTTTTTAAAACCTAACCTTCGGCACTTATATGACCTTATTTTGTTTCAAGTGCCGTGAAACTCTTACTGAAACAAAAACTATAAGGACCTTCGATATAACGACATCCTGTGTATAGCGACATGGAGCCTAGGTCCCGATTTTTTCCTTAAATATATACAGTCCATGCCGGCTTTAAGCACGGTCATCAGGAGAAAGCTTAAGCGTGCTTAAAGCCGAAGCGTGCTTGAGTGCGAAGTAGACATAATCCAGAGATTTTCATGTAGAAAATTCCGCGTGCTATTTCCCTTAGTTTGTAAGTTGGCCTATAGCGGTCCCGCAAAAGTGTGCACTGTTATTTAGACACCCGCCATGGTAGTTTTTGTTTGCTTGTTTGTTTTTGTTTTGTGGTCGAGTGGGAAATGAAAACTTAATTTAGACGGCCAGTCACGATACAGCACACTAGGCCTACTGTAACACACTGCCTGTGCGTACCACTGCCCGCTGTGCCACTCATACATGTACCACCGCCTTCATCCCACCTCGCGCGTGATACACAATCAGGATTAATGGATAGCGAGGGTCAAACGTAAAATCTCAGCCTGCCTCCCTTTCTCGTCTCCCCGACTCTCTTTGTATTTTTTAGTCAGTGTGTAACTTTGCCCTAGGCCTAAGCTAGATCCTATGTCCACGCGCGCAGCTGTGTGCATCTCTCTGCCTTCCTCTCTGCCCGTGTGAGTGTGAGTGTCCATCACTTGCGTTCTTTGTGTTTCTCTTGACACACTCCACTGCTGCGGTGTAAACTGTGCTCGAACTTCGATGGGTCATCATGAAAATATTGACTGTCTTGTAAATGAAGCGTACTTGAAGCCGAAGTTGCCGTGCTTAAAGGCGTGTAAATTATATAGCAAAAATTCGGTAAGAGCCGTTTAGCGTGCTTGAGTCCGAAACGTGCTTAAGGCCGGCATGCTTAAAGCCGGCACGGACTGTAAATCATTATTAATATTTTTGGTTGCCTCTCTATAACAACTCTCTATAACAACTCTCTATAACAACTCTCTATAACAACTCTCTATAACAACTCTCTATAACAACATGTTTATTCCTGGTCCTGACAAGGTCGTTACAGAGAGGCTGCACTGTACTTTGGTTTTTTGGAATGTCCATTGCAGATTTCTTGTTTTTTTAAATTTTTGTATTATTTTTTTTTAACCTAAATTGCGTCGATTGGAGCATCGAAGCACTCGCATTGAAAGACGTTTTTAAAAAATTACTTTACGTCTTCTCATATTGATACAGCATTCTTGATGATCAATTGTTTTCTGCATCATGTTTGTTTCATTTTTCACTTTTCGAAAATTTATATCGTTGATGTGTGATGAAGTGTCAGTCTTGTGATATATATAGATATCTTTGTGAGACAGCGTGGTGGAATCAGGCTCTCGTCAAAATAATCAAAGTGACGAAACTTGCAGTTTTCCGCAGGTTTGTGAATGTTTATCAAATTTTTGTTTTTTTTGGCCCAACACCTTTCATGCCCATTACAGAACTCATGTCTCTGTGGATTTTTCTGAAAAACGTTGATTAAATGCACAAAAAAATAAATTTTCAGTTAACTCGGACTCTTAAGCTGAGGAAATAACTAATCTTTGGCGGCCACCTTCTCACTAATTTTACCTCTGAAAACGACTGAACCCCACCTCCTTCTTTCGCAAATATCTCAACTTGTATTCAAGATAAATGGATATTTTTTTCATCCAAATAAAGACAAACGAACAAGCTTTAAGATGATACCCATAACTCTACATGCCCCAAAAATTGACGGGAGCCTGATTCCACCACGCTGCCTCACATATATATATATTTTTTTTTTTCAGTCTGAAGTGGTTGGCACAAGTCGCTACGTCAGAGCCACAAAGCTCTATCTGCTCCACGACCTGTTTGGAGAAATTTGACGGCGAAATGTTTAATTTTCACAATATGTCTAGCTTCCTCTTAACGCAAATCTCTGAATTTCATGATAACGACTCAGAATATTCTTACGATTTTGATAGAGCGGATACAACATTTGTTTTCTGACCTCATGGTCTTAGTAACTCAAAACGGCCAAAAATGTCAGATAGAACTTTGTAATCCTGAGGTAACGAGGTGTCTGTCTGTGGCATAGCCATCTGGCTCTCTACTGTCTCAGGCAAGAGATTTGAGTTCGATTCTCGAGTGGAGAGAAAATAGTCAACGAAATTTTTGGTATTCCTGCGTGGATGTTGTATCGTATCCCTCTCATCCTAAAACACACAGACTGACAGACACACACACACACACACACACACACACACACACACTCACAAACACTCACAGTCACACACAGACAAACACAGACAAACACACACACACACACAGACACGCACACACAGACACACACAGACAAACACACACACGCAGACACACACACGCACACACACACACTCACACACACACA